CAAAGGCAGGACGACAAGCGATGCAAAAATATATGTTGTGAGACTGATCCGATGAGTGATGGACGGAAAATGCTTTGCTTCCCACAGTGGAATTGCAACAATTCGGATTGTCACTAACGGGAAGAAGATCTCATGGCCCGAACACGTTCAAGAATAGAGATTTTTTTTAAGTGCAATTGAAAATCTGTTGAAAATCTGATTCAAGCCATGTTACAATGGCTCCCATGCAAGTTGAGCATATGCCCCAGCTTATATGAATGCCCGAACGGCACAAGAAAGAAATAATTAAAAAAATATCTTGAATGATACTATAATATGGATTCTCCGTCCGACACTTCACATACACGATAATTCTTGAATCAATCTAACAGAAACAACTGCGAACATCTACTCTTCTACCAGTTTGGCTTAGTGAAGTAACCTTTGTAGCCAAGACCGTAAACATGGTACAAAAAATCAACTCGATAGACTTATTCGGTTGTTTGCTGTTATGGATTTTAGTATCTTTTCACTTATGTAGAGTGTCAATGATCAGTGAAAGAAACTACTTACATTATGCTAACATTGCATAAATATCTGTGAGAAAAACGTACAGAGCCAATACTAGTAACTAGAATTTCAAGATGAATGTGAAATCCAATGGATGCGTATTTGTGTTCAGTTGCATCTGGTCACTCTCCAGTATTCCACAACTCGAGTGTGACATAATTAAATCATTCAACAAGAACTCAAGTATGGGATCTACAACCTTTTGTTGTTTTTTCTTCGTTTATAATATTAAATCCAGATTGGATGTTGACTATTGTAAGCATAGTGAGATTTAATAGCGCCAAGATGTACGTGCTGACAAGAATGGAAACCAGTTCACGGGCCTGTGATTACAACAGTAGCACCTGGACCTGACGAAGAGTGCGATCGGACGTGATTTCTTGGATATAGCTGGACCTCAGAAACTGGCAGCTGCAGAGAGGAATTTCCGAGCAGCGTCATGACGGCGTCAATTACATGCACAGAGAGGTCCGGCCCATCACCGATGGCTACTACAAGTCTGATCGAGGCACTGTGTCGTCGAACTCTAAGGAGTTGTGAGCTTTCAGACGCAGTTAAGCGCATCAGAACAACGAACTTCTTGCTCTTCCAGTCTCTCGTCGACAATCAATCCATCGAATATATCGTCCAATTTCAGCTTCTGACACTCGAGCTCGTTGATGAGGTCGATCGCGAGGCCCGAATAGCCTACGAGCATGTTCACCACTTGCGACATGGCGAACCGTTTGCTCGGGTCCTCTGCAGGACGGTAATGATCTCGTCTTTCGTGCCCATCGTCACCAATCCCACCTCTCACATGTTTAGAAGCCTGTCTGTCGTCCTCGTATAGCTTGAACGCCTGCGCACGCGAATTCCGTGCGTAGTCAGGTCCCAGAGCACCCGCATGTCAGATTCACGACACCAGATCTCTTCTCATGGAGCCTTTCAGCTGGACGTGCTCGTGGACCTGTATTTGAATTTGGAGCAAACCAGGTTCTCGTCAGGTTTTAGACCTCGTCTTCCGACGAAGAAAAGTCGATGCAGCGTTGTTGCAATGCAATTGCTAGAAGGAGATTGCAGTAGCTGTGAACATCTTGCTTCTCGTTGAACACTTCCCGAGTGAATCCTTCGACGATGGTGCCAAAGTTACGGCGTATACTCACAAGGGTCGTCCAACGTGTGAGGGCATCTTTGTTGCGCCTTCGCTAGTCCATATAGAAGAGCATGTTCTTAGGTTTGAAGTCTCTGTGTGCACGAATCGCCATTAGATCACTAAGCCTATTGCAATTGAGAACCAATCAGCGTACACAATGAAGGAACATGCTGGTCTGAAATTCGTCATTCACTGTAAAATCGTCCATCCTTTTACTTTGGCATGTGATCCGAATCCCTTTGATTCGATGTGCTCACACGTTGCTGACCTGTGATTGATTTTGGGCTGCCATTCCTGGAGCGATTCCCACATACGTTCACAGACTGTGCCCATGTCAACTCATAAAGTCTTCTGTAACCTGTAGTTAGGCTACCAAGAGCCGTCATTATAGTTTAGGCCATAAGGATCTGAGTTTCAGAGCATATGGAGCAAGGAAAAGGAACTCAAGGGTTTGTGCAGTTTGATGACAGCTCATCTTCTCTCTCTCGCTTTGTAAACGACATGCGCATTCTTCAGTTCATCATATAATTCTGTATATGAATCGTCATATCCCTGGCAACTGGAGTCAGGAGCAACATTATTCATTCATTGCCAGAGAGAGACCATGTAAGAAGCTGAAGCAACACCTTCTACCAGTGTGAATGACCACTGGAAAGAATCCGAAATGGAAAAGCTGAGTCACAGATGAATCAACCCCAGAAGTGCTTGACTGAGCTTTAATGACGCGAGTTTGACGAAGTCATGAGAACTCGAAGCTCGTCTGCACAGCCTCTGTGTAAGCACGAATTAAACTTGAAGAGTTATGAAACTTAAACACAGGAAAACAGAGAGCATTTACTGGCCAAGAAAGGAGAGTGCCTTCAGGGCTTCCGCGAGGTTCTCGTTAGCTGCGTACGCATATACCAGCAAGCGTTGCTTATCGCTGACTCAACATCCTTTGAGCTGATCCAAATTCCTTTGTTTGTTTGATTCCCATGATGAGAACCATCTCGTTTAAAAATCAGTCACGTTTGAATCCGCTGGGAAGAGCCGCTTCACAGCAACTATGCTTCCGTCCCCTGGCATAGCCTGCTCGACATGACTGCAAAGCAAACACAACGATCTGAGCCGACCTTTACTCACTGACCAATCAGCACTATACTGAGCTCTCATATGAAGATCGCGATTGGCAAGAGGTCTTCGCTCGTACATAACATATCTTCAACTTGCACAAGCTTTATCTAGAACTTTACATTGATTCTATGTGCTGAAAAAAGAGGTCGATTACAGTCCTCTAGGATTGCACCTTGTACACAGCGACAAATGCACCCTTCCCCAACTTGTTTGCTTTCCAAGAAAATTCCGTTGCTAGTTTCAGATCTCTGTACTTGAAAATGGTGGCCTCACATCGTCTTTGGCTAGAGGTGGTCAGAAACAGAGTGACTCAAAGGCAAGCTCTGTCCGATCTCTGTCAAATTTGATCAAACCAACGTCACCGTATACAGACTGAGACAGAGAACACTCTCGGATGACTGAATCCGATATATTCTCACCTTCTTGTCTCTGACGGAGCTCTTTCATCCGTTTCCACAAAGAGACTAAGAGATTAAAAACATCAGCAAGATCAAAAGTCCACTCGTCACGCCGATAGCAGCTAACTGTCTCCTATTCGCTCCCTTCAGTACTGCACCAATAAACTGGAATCAGCCTTTGCAAAACTGTGAAACCTTGCAATGCAGTGACTATCATGACACGAGCAAGCGGCTGAGAACATTATCAACATGTTTTTGCTTTTGAAGTGTACTCTCAGCATTAGGCACAAGTCCAGTTCATTTAGTTCTGACACCGAGGTGACCAAAAGTCGTCATGTTCATCTGACCGACAAAGGCATCTTCGTACCAGAGTCGCATTCTCCATGGTCAGCTTCTTGCACCATGGGTTTTCTCCAAGCATGTGGTTTGGAAGAAGAATCATTTGACTTCGAAAAAATGTTTTACCTGAGGTAAGTCTACCATATTCAAATTTGACTTACCTCCATTGTCTACTTATGCTTCCTTGCTAGCGCTGATACTAGTCCATTGGTATCGGGCCTGGACTCTCAGTTGGACTTATTAACCCAGTCTCCGATAGTCGATGAATTCGCTGGATGTTGTGTTCTGATGGTTGTATGACATTCCTGATGTTTAAAAGTGAAGACACCCACTAACCATGAGCATCGAAACTTGTCCTCTCTTATACCAACTGGCTCCATGTGGTCAAGTTCAGCTCAGTGAATCTGTTGTTATGAAGAACCCTGACAACATGAGGACGTCACGAAATTACAAAACTTACGTTGTCATGATCAAAAGCCTTTCAGAGATGGTCGTATCACATCTGAAAGTGGTTCTCTCACTTTGAGCTGTTCGGGATCGAATTCGTTACTGCACGAGCATATTGAGAATTTTGCTTTTGAAGTTCTGAAGTGCACCAGTAACGAGTCCTCTGGTTAGTGTAATAGGAAATTAAAAGAAGGAGTTTGTTATAATTATCTGAGCTTCTGACGCAGGGCTTTCCTCTGGATTCCGGCCTATTCATCACTCAGACGTTCAGCCGTTGAAAGTATCAGACGACCTTCTCGTGCTGTAGTGCGGTATGCTGATCATTTTGAATGTATTCGGGTTCCAACAAGCTGACCTCATTTACGTTATGATCAAAAACAGGCTCAGGCCCTTAAATACACTTCCGCTTGCAGAGCTACTAATAGCTCCAGTGAAAGTTAGGGTTCTCAAGTTCTAACATTCTCACATTCTCAAGTTTTGATCCGAAACTCCAAATCTCGTAAGGAACCATACGTCAAGGCCTTCCGTCTGCAATTACTGGTACGAACATAGCGTTGTATAGATACTATCAAAGATTTCCAGATCCTGAACAACTGCTCCTTCCATTTCTAGAACAGGTCTCTGAAGGCAAGAGGCCTTCAGAGCTGCTCAAGAAATGTGCTCCTGGAAGTCCGAAAGAAAGTCGAATCTGAAACGTCAAGTCTTTAACTGGTTGGGAAGACAGGATCGGAGTCAGCAAGAACGGCTCTTCCAGCCTTGCAAAAGACGAGGAACAGTTATTATTTACTTGTGTTTGACCTGTGAACATGTTCTTTTTGTAGAAAGACTCCTAGGCACAAATCAATAGAGCAAATATATCCCCAATTTCGAAACGATCTGGATAAGTTACAGGCTTCTTAGCGAAAACGTTACAAATATTTTCGTTTTCTTTTATGTCGGTGTGCCAATCCGAATCAATCTTGCATTGAGTGCGTCACTTGCCTGAGAGGCATAATCAACTCTGAACACTACACATCGTAATGCAGGCATGAATATATATGAAGTTTTTGAATGACAGAGAAACACTAAGATGTACTCACAAAGTCTTGACAAATTGGAGGTTGACCGGCTCAACCGCCAGTTTCCCCGACAACTGATAAATAAGACAGATCCAAACCTTGCAAATTTATCAACTCCCCTAATTCAACATGCATGGAGCCAGTGAATTGATCGTGGCTAAGGTCCCTGTAAACGAACAACTCACTCCGTCGATGTAGAGTAAACCAAAGAACATTTAAGCTACGACGCACACAATGAACGGATTAGATAAGTTTTGGGAACTGTGAATTTGAGACACTTTGAGAGGTTAAGTAGATTTACGAACCAACTTTTCATATGGGAAAATTACAGTACAGTTTATCCAACTGGTATCATGGATGGAACTTGTGAATTTGAATCTCACGAGATATTTCACCTTCCACTCAGTATTGCATCCACAGGTGTCTGCCAGACAAACAATGACCATCAGACAAAAGTGCTGAAACAATGGTATAATCAAAAATGTACTCTAGGACCATGCATAGACAACGGCCTCTGTTTCCGTCTCTTTAGAACTAAGCTTCGCCAACAACAGAACAGACGTCAATGCCACAAAGAAGAGAGTGCCAAAAGCAGGAACCTCAGGCTATTTCCGAGAGTCGGCTGACATCTCATAGCATACCAAGGCTATAGATGTTTCTTTTCTAATGAATAGACCGTATGATGAGAGAAATATCTGACAGGGATTATGATCTTCCATACAAGAAACAGCTGACCGACCATTGAAACTTACAAAGTCTAGACTGTATCAGCCAAAGCTCTCACAAGTGGCCACAAGTTCCCGCTGTGTGTTATCTCGTAATGATCTGCTCGATATAAGCATGTCATAGAGAAGAAAATACAAACATAGAGTCAAACCTACGCGTCGTTGTGCTCAACTGCAGTTGAAAACAATGTGCCTAAAGCAATCTTGGAGCTTGCCCTGACTGACTGACTGGCCGTGAAATTTGTACTAGTTTCTACCCACATGTTTCTATGAAACTCTGATAGCTGAAGTAGGTTTCAAGCAAATACTCAGAGATTCCAGTATTCCTAGAGATTTGGTACAAACGGCGGAAGTTCACCCAAGTTTTTGTGTGCAAGGTTCCTGGCAAAAACGAACTGGCGGCTACACCATCCCACGACTTGGACTCAGCTGTACTTCGAAGTTAGACAATATCCATACATCTGTTGGATGGAGTATCCATTTCGATACATTAACGATGGAAATAAATTCACATCCTTCATCTACATCGCTGCTTTGGAAATATTATTGAATCATTTTCTAACCTTGTACTGAATAGAAGAGAATTTGATCCGTCGAAGCTAGTGAGGCGCTTACGGTGCTCTGAGAGTCACAACATCCACCAGGGATGACGGCAAAGTACCATAAAAGCTGTTGTTGAAAAGATCTAGTGCAGATCTAACGCTGAAATGGATTTTAAATGGATATATTGCTCTAAATCTGAAACCTTTGGTTGTATCCTTTCCTCCAAGTTGTCATATTCGAGAAGACTGCCTGTTGGTCAGTTATTGTAAGTTCGGTTCTATCTAGAGTTTCCATCCATCTGACTCAGCTGCTCTGTTGCAGCAACTGAAAATTTTGCTCCTGCCTCGAAAGTTTCTTCTATGAGATGAATCTCATAATAAAATCTGCTGGCTCATCGGTGACTGCAACTTGGATAGTCTCAGATATTTCCATTCATCCGATCCCGAGATATACCTGCCCCTACCACCGTAGTCAGTGATACGGATCATAACTTCAGCGACCAAAATCTACATGTTTCTTTAGAATAAAGAAACATGTGCATGTTTCTTTATTTCCGATCCAACTTCTACATGTGTCCTGCACGCACACAAGGTGCTTGACGGTACAGGAACTCACGACGGAGATGGCAACTGGCTGCTGTAAGCCAGATGCAACGCTAGCATATTTAGCATGTATGAGCAGCTTACTGCTCAAACATCAGATCAAAAGTCATCAGCAAGTTCCTGCGACCTGTCCGTAAGCACCCAAGTCAAATCTATGTATGTGCATTGACGAGTACGTCCAGAACGTCACTTCAGCTCACGAATTCAGTGTTCAGAGGTGATAGCTGATTGAAGACCTGAAACACGGGTACAGAGGTCTCCTCGTTTGCAGACTCGGAGCTTTATTGAAGTTTATTGAAGTTTTCCTACGTAGTGCACTCAAGCGCTTTGTGCTCATCCTATGTAACCATTCACAAGGCCCGGAGAATGACAGGAGATAGAGCTATCAATTATGAACATATGTCAGCTCAGATGTCTGTCCTGAGCCATTTCTTAACGCTCTGCCTTTTGAATCTGCCTGCATGGCGACGACAGAGATGCACTAAACAGCCAAGGCAGTACTAAATTATACACGCCAAGGTCTCGTGCGTTAGCTGCTTCTCGTTGTTTGTGACATCCTTCCGTTCTTAAAGGTATTGTCCTATTTCCAGGTAGAAAATCTCCCTCGGGACTGAGGTACCCTAGAGAGGATCAAGAGTAAGGCAAACGCGAAAGGATTTGGAGGCCTCTTACCAATGCTATCCATGCTTCGAGTGAGGGCCAATGTGGACTTTTTGGAGCTGTCAGCTTCATACACATCTTTCAGCCACTCACAATTGGAGTATTCAGACTTTGAGAAGTCTGAGTCCAGTATGATATGGAGTTGTGTACTAGAAGTCGCGTGAAGAGAACGCTTCGAATTATTAATCTCTGTTCCTCGTTCTCCTACCATGTCAAAATATGGTAATGGCTGGATTGTGCCGCACCAGTACAAGTCAATCTGATCTTAGTCTGCACAGCAATCGTGGCCTGAGTGCGCACGCACGCACAGACATTCTGGTGTGTATTGTGCTCCTTCGCGAGATTCGCACCATAGTAGCTAAGACGGGACCTCCTCCTCTATTGTTGTGAGCTTGGAGGATTGAACATCCAAACCGGCCCAAGTAGTGTTTTTGGATGACCCAAGGCTAAATTCTTGCATTTTGTCATCACCGTGCTCAACAAGATGACAGGTTGCGTGTTTCTTGAATAATTCATTTGTTGGTACTTGTTCTAATTTACTATAGTGTTATCAATGTTTGCTCTTGGTCACTCTAAGGATTCGAATCTCGAATTACTATACGTGTAAAATATATATTGTTTTCAATATTCGATACTATATTTCTTATTTTTATACTATTGTATCATATGATTAATGTAATGAATTATTGTTTATACATAATGTAGTATAAAATTCATTTTACATTATTCATAAAATGTAATTATGTTATTATTTGTTTGGGAATACTATTCCGATCTGGTTTTATATCATTATTTGGTTTCATCACAATTGAGGTTGATGTGATAGGCCATGCTATTGGTAAAGCAGCATCTCCCTCTTTTCCTCTACTCAGTGTTCGTTTGTCATCCAACCTTACTCTACTATTCGACGTGGTTCATTCGGAATGAAACTTTTGACAAAGTTCTACATTTTCCTTTCTATCATAGCCATGTCAAAAGTTTGTACATAAATCTAGATATAAGTTTATTTACAAGTAATATAAAACTTCCGAAGTCAATGTACTAGAAGTGAAATTTTTTAAGAGTTCGTTCTTACTACCATGTGGTAATAAGAACGAACTCACCATCAAACTAAATCGCTAATAGAGGTAACTGCATGAGAACATTGCTCCAGTGCACCTCAATCTCACTGTCATGTTTGACAGTGTCAATTATTATATCACGTTACTATAATATGGATAACAAAAGTCCTCCCACGTGTACTGTTCTCAACGTACAGAGTAGACGGTGTATGAGTCAAATATCTTTATAAGTTGCGTCCATTCGATACATACATAGTTTTCTGATAAAATACTGTTTTGTACATTCATGTTAATAATCTTTCAAACAAGTTTTTCTTTTCGTTTTTCTATGTATAGATTTGTGACTTTCTAAAGGTAAACTACACGTTTAGAAAATTATGTATGGGAATAGGCGGTATCTCATCACTCACACAGTAATCGCACTTAAGTCGAAATCAAACTTTCTTTGCCAGTTTATCTGTTTAGCATTGATCAACTGAAGGGACGGTAAATTCTCAGAAAACATACATTACGAATAACATACTCATTCAATCATGGCGAAAAGACCGATCCAAGTTCGACTTTTTTCTGTTCAAAATTTATAAGCACCTTTATACAACATAGCAATTTTCCTGTCTACGATTTATAGTTTACACATCCATTTGACTGACAGGAAGGATGTACCCAACCCAGAAAAAATACCAGACAACCCAACCTCAGCCGGTATTTTCCGCCTAGTCAAATACCTGAAATCACCTTGACCTTTTTGTATGGTGCCAGCTTTCATTCATTACTGGTATATGTACAAAACGTGCTCTTTCTAAGGGAACTTTCTTCCCACTGCTTTGACACGCACAATATTTGTATGAGGTATATTCTACTACAAAAATTAATCTATTTCACCCTCCTCCACATCCGCACTCAACTCTATGACTACTTTGTTGTGATTCGCTTGTGAAGCATCGTTGTTCTCTTCGTCATCCTCGTCTTCGTCATCATTCTTCATGAACAGACCCAAACGCTCTAAAGGATTTCCACCTTGTAAAGCAAAATCCGGTAAACCATCTGGAGAATCAGAATCAGGACTGTCTTCGCCTGAACTGGGAAGATGATCCATAGACGCAGTCCGTAACATTTCCAAGTCTTTAAGTATCTCACTATTTTCATCAATCTCGACTGTCTTCTCCATCTGAAATAAGCATGACCGACGATCCTCACATTAATCCGACGTGACCCACAATCCACGGCGATAAGTACATCGTCCAAAAATCCGGACCAAAGGTCAAATGAGAATCGATAGTAATTGCTCATCACTGCGGCCCATGCAGCAAAGATACGTACTTGTTGTAGCTGAATACGGGCAGCTTCTCGCTCCGCTTCCCTCTTACGCTTAGCTTCATGGGCAGCCTCAACTTCTGCCTTTCTTCGAGCGGCCTCCGCTGCCTTCGCTTCCGCGTGCAAACGAGCTTTCTCTGCAAACAAACATTCCTGTTAAGTGCTGGATTTTTAATCTCCCGGCGAGCATATCACAACAGACCATCAAAGAAGGCAAATGTTACTCGGACGTTCAGTGCAGCTATTCGGCCGGGTAGTCCTAGATGTACGCAGTGATCGCACGTAAGCGCATTGGAGCCCCGCTAGAAGGGGATTTAGGCTAGGACTGTATATCAGAGGCCAACATTTTCCTTCAAATTTTGTACCCAGACCAGACCATAACCATCAGCAGCGACCTATGCCCACCCATAGCATTACCTGTGCCCACCCATGCTATTCAAATTGCGCCCATGTATTCAAAAATTGTGTAATGTGTATTCCCCGCCTACACCAAGTCTTGGTTGGATCTGACAAACAAAAGGTTGTTCACTGTTGCTGGCTTCAGCCCGGAGCGCTTCTTAGTTAGCGTATTTCCTGCATCCGAGAAGTTTGACTCCGATTTGGAACTGAATGCGGGGATGCACAACGCCGAAAGCGCCACTCGCGACATAAAGAAGGGGAATGTGAAATGATGGGGAATGTGAAGGCTCCCTATCACTGACGTGTGAGCTATCACTGACATGTGTGCACTCTTCTCGCACTCCGTGAGTTCAACGCCAGTGGCACGTGTCATGTTAATACATTGTATTGACATAACAGGTTGGGGTCCAGGTCTCAAGCAGTATTGATAAGCATGGGTTCCGTACCCATTTGGAAGCTATGCCCATCCATACCCACATGGAAACAATAACCACCCTTGCCCACCATGAACAATAATATCACCCAAAACTCACCCAAACCCATGGACATGGGTGGGTTTGGGCATGGGCTTGGGCATGGGTATGGGCACCCAATGTTGGGCTCTGCTGTATATATCTAGGACTGCCCGGCCGAAAAGTAAAGCCACAGGCCGAATATCAATTGCCTCAAAACAAATATTACGATGAACCGGTTAACATTGACAAGAACGTACAATGTGCTTTTTGACAGGTAAAGCCATTCAACGGCACCGTACAAAAAGTACGCAATATATAAATCGAGACAAGAAAAAAACTCCTTACCTTCTTTTTGCCTCTTCTCTAGCTCCTCGCGATCCCTTCTAACTTTCTCTGGATCCAACTTTTCATTCTGGAAAGGAAGGCAACTTGTATGTTAAATCACATGTTCATGAACAATTCTCCGGCACGTTTCAAACACCCGCGGAAATTGACATTTAAAGCTTAATAAGCAGACCAAGTTGTCACTGGAAAGCCAGTGAGGCATAATCAAAATTTGGTTTGACAAACCTTATTGTGAGGCAAGGTCTTTTCCTGGGCCTTAAGAATAGTATCAGCAAATCTTCCCCTTAACAAAGCAGCTCGTAGGAGCTTATCAGGGGAAACCTGCCGCTCAGGTTGACTTTCCTCCCCTGTGAGATGGAACAATAAAGTTCAGGGCACCATGCGGTAATCGATCCAACCCCTCAGAACGCACAGGCAAGAAGGTTGGAAAACCGTCAACATGCGGAACAAAGCGAACCTTCTGTTCACTCTTTGTATCTTCCCTCTTTCAGCTGCTTTCCCTCAGGTACTTCCTTTCGTGGGGATATGTAAAAGATCCCCTAGAGATCACTCTCTTCCATCCCACAAAAGGCAAAGACCAGAAGAAAAAAGAGAGAGATGGAAAGCATAAAAATGTAAACTCACGAGAGTCTTGCTGAGTGGCTACAGGGGGTTTAGCAGGAACCGGCTCTTCCACAGTCTCTGTCACATCCCCTGTATCATGATAGAAAGGAGGGTCAGGGCGCGCAACCTAGATAGATCGAGTAGATCCCACGGCCCAGACAGAGAAACGTCAAAAACATTTGACATGGAAAAAAAGTGGACCCGGAAGTCGGACAGACTAATCTGTCAGGGCATTGACCGAAAAGGGAAAAGTCCAAAAGCAAATCACGCCCAGTTCTACACACTTGTAGCTTCAACATCCTTCGGTGCTGAAGGAGGCCGTGGGATATCTTCCGCTTCAGATTCGCTTCCAGATGAACTTGCACTGTCTGAATCTGCAGAAGGGGAGAGCTAGAGATAAGAACTTGTATCTACAGCAGAGGCCAACATTTTACTTCAAATCTGCACCCAGACCAGACCATAACTATCAGCAGCGACCTAAGCCCACCTATGCCCACCCATAGCATTACCTGTGTCACCCATGCCCACCCATGGAAAACTAATGTCACCCAAAACCCACCCCAAACCCATGGGCATGGGTTTGGGGTTTGGGCATGGGTGGGTTTGGGCACCCAATGTCGGGCTCTGATCTACAGTACTATACCGGCTGAGAGTTATGGTTATGCTCCACACTCGTATGTACAAGAAAGACGGTCACGACTTACTGCAGGCATCATCGACTAATCGAGTTCCTCCTAATATCTGCGGCCACAAACACCCGTAGTGTGGAAATGCGTGTGCACAGTCGTCCCAATGATCCTTACCACTAGATGAAGATGCAGACCCAGAATCACTACTCGAGCTTCCAGAGCTGCTTGATGCAACTGGGCCCGCTGAAGGCTCTTTATCTCTTTCCTTCTCCTTCTCCTCCTCTTTAACATCCACTACACCAGTAGGAGAGGCCACGGCTCCACTTCCATCTGCAACTTCGACGTCCTCGTCCAAGGCTTCGGATCCTGTCACATAGAGGATTAGTGAAGGCATCATCAGGTGAAAGTGTTAAAAACCTTGATGAAAGTGCGTGGCTACACCTCGGAATAAAGAGGACGGATTAAACGCGTACCATTCACATGTAGGCGAGGAAAAAACCCAGTGCATCTACAAATAGTACAATACCAACGTATACCGGAACAACACTAAAAAGCTGTTTATTGTCTGCTTTGAACCAACATTCTCAGGCTTACCCTTCGAAGCTTTCGATGGATTCTCCGTAATGACTTCAACCATCGGAGGCTGCACATCAAATGAAAGTGTCAGAACAGCTAAAAGTTTTGCTTCTGTAGTGAAGGAGTTTGAATGGTCAGAGAGAATGGCATGTAAGGTTTCAGGAATCATGCGTAGTATGTTTGATACCACACTCAGGGCGAAATACTCCATGAAAATCATATGTCCCCAACACGATCTACAGAACACAAATCACCACATGACCTCAAAGGTGAATACTCCAACGGCCTCTATATTCCTGAATCTCAAACAAATCTGATAGTTCCAACGGGGAAGCAGGGTTTCCTGCTCAATCCAATCATCTCAAGATCATGTACATCCGAGGAGAAACCCACTACAACTTTTTGAAATCAACTATGAGCAACAAGTCCGCAATGCCCAAAGATCAAAGACGAATCACAAAACCTTGGGCTCACCCTTACGTTACTAGATCGAGGCCGACAATTTCTACAACCAAGCTTGATAAGTGGCCAGAGAAGTACATTACTCACAAGTTGTCTAGCGCGGGAACCCGGACCCGAACCAGAAGCTGAGACAAGCTGGCTGAGGGCAGCTTTCTTCACCTTGCCCCTGCTCTTCATGCAGTTGCTCACGAATCGCTCAAGCTCCCACAGCGTATCGTTGTCCAAAGAATCTATGTCAATCTCGATTTCATCGTCGGTGTGACTGAGTGTTGGTTTCCTCTTCTTGATTATTTGAACAATACGCTCCAGCTTGTCGGGATGCAAGTTTTCTAGACTCTCGCTTAGCTTCCTCTTCTCCTCCATATTCATGAGGCGCTTGTCCAGATCAGAAGGCTTTGGCTTGGGCTGTGCTGCTTGCTTTCCACCGTTCGGCCTCGCCTTCGTCACTACTTGAACGTCAACCACCTTCTCAGATGGCTTCTTCTCTTCCGGCTCCTCGGGATGCACAGGTTCTTCAACATGCGGCTTCGGCGTCAAGAGCTCTTGGCAGGGTCGCACTCTCGACTTGTGCTCATCCTCCTCGATCTTCTCCAGTATAGCCTTCCACTTCTCTTCAAATATGTCTCTCAGCTGCTCGGCCATCGCAAAAACAAAATGTCCTTGTGGATTGTAAGTCATGGCATTAGAAAAGGTCAGACGAACGTCCTCAGCGAAATTCAGAGGAGAAGTGTACTCTCCCCGATTCACTTTCTTCTTGATAGTTCCAAGATCCATAGGTCTCTTGATAACCTGATGGTAATCATGGAGGCCGAGTTTCACGGCATCCACCGGCTCGTTGAAAACCCATGAATGCTTGTGATTACAAAGCTTTCGTGCTAAAGCGGCGCATAATTTCATAATGTCGGCCGTCCGCCGGCCTCTTCCGACATCTACCTTTTGTTTTTTCATAGTGCACGCCTCGACTTTCACTTGACCAACTCGTTTCGAACCAATCCCGGCTTTGCCCTTCGGCTTCTCAGAGGCCGGCATCTTGTCTTTGCCTGAAACGAATTCGGAGTTCACATACAGCTGATTCGCCTTGGGCGTGCGTTTGTCCTTGCTTACGGCATCAGGCGTTCCAAGAATAGCGTCGGATGTCACCACGACACTCGGCTGCCGCGCTAACCGGGCTTCACGCTGACTTAGCAAACGATGAGGTTCATCGAGCATTGTCGCAGGGACCAGTTTGATCTCCTTCGGCAAAGGACCTCCATTTTGCGTCCTCGAAAGTTGCGTCTCAGGATAGACCACGCAAGAAACTTTCGTCAACTCCTCCTGCCGCGCGAGGATCTTGAACGTCACACCCTGCACCTGTTCCAGATGCATGCGCAATTTCTTGCGGAGTTCTTTCCTCTCCTCTCTGGTGTAGCAATCCCGACTAAAGAGGCTCACATCCACTAGAGCGCTGTGCGCTTCTTTCAAGACATCTCCGTTCAAACTCATCGACTTCCGCTTCAACCCTACGGCGGGGCCCGTCGACATCACAAAAGGTCCTTCCATCATGACTCTCGCACACGGGCAGTGCGGATCACTCACAAAGCTTTTTCAGGACCGTAGAAAATTTTACAACTAAGCCGCAGGACCTCTGTCAATGGACCTGTATGCCCTCCAGCCTCCCTATAATGGCAACCTCGAGAGCAACGGCTTCCCAAATCCACTTCCTTCATGACCTGCTTTCCGACATTGAAACGCACCCAAGCCGGTAGAAACCGTCGCAACGATGGTCCTCCAGATCCTTCAAGTCGCGGCCGCAACCTGCAAAACCTGGATCTATCGGCCAAAACGCTCCTCTCCTTCTCCTCCTCCTTCTGTGCCTCCTCCTCCTCCTCCTCCTCCTCCTCCTCCTCGCGCACGGAACGAAACAATCAAACCCTCGCAATCGCACATCTGTTGAAAACCGCTGCCACGAACACAGTCACCGCCTGATCTGTCGAAGCAGGCGAAATTTCAAGCCACCCAGAGGAAAATTGCGGGCGCGAGGCACCGGCCGGGCTCATGCTCAAGCCGATGCAACGAGACGAACGAACGAGGGCGTCGGTCGTCCGTGTGACAGCATGCTCGCGAGAAGCGGCCGAGGAGAGACCGCTGGGCGCGCGGCCAAACGATCCAATCCTTGCAGAGGAGGTCGTCGGCGTCGGCGGCCGGGCTCGCGAGCTCTGAGTCACTCGTCCGCCGAGGAGGGCAAACTCCGACGGATCGATCACGTCGAGGAAGAAGCGCGGCATGTGGCCGGTCTGGAAAGTTCCTGACGCGGGATGGAATTCATGGACACGCCGACCATGAATTCCCCAGCAGCGCCCCCACTACACGCGCGCCTCGTATGACAGACAGCGCCCTAGTGCTCGGTGCCGAGCCCTCGATCCCTCGACTTCCCGCTCCCACCTCCTTTTTATTGCCGATGCGCACTTTGCTTGCATTGCAAGCGATGGCAAGGCGGGAGGCTGTGGGACGGGCGGGGCTCGCTGGCTCGCTGGCAGGCCCGCAGGCAGGCTGGTTAGGGTTTAATGCGGAACGGGCGGCGGCAGACGAGGGTTCCATATACACTGCACAAAGTCAGACCGCCCGCCCCCGCCCGCCCGGGCCCTACTGCAGTTATCCCGAAAACTTTACCTGCAGAATCTACCCGACACCATCCTCGCGTGGCCCCTTCCGCCACCGCTGCCCTCCGCTCGCATGCCCAATGTCGCCTCCGGTCTGTGAGCCCCGATGCGGCTCGGCTCGGCTCGTGGCTCGTGGGTGGATGGATAAAGCGACTCATTTCAGACTGATCGCTGATATTAGAATCCGGGCCAACTTGCCTCTAGGCATCACCAAGTTTATCCATTCCTGATCATTTCCCCGGCCGTCTTATCCATTTTTCTCGCCACTCCTCGTCTCCTCTGTGCCACAATCAAGAAGAATCACCGATTAGAAGAATGCAGTTTCCTCAGCACCGCTGTGAGAAATTATTACACTCTTGACTATCACGAAAGCGAGAACCACAAGATTCCAAATATTAACATCTATGAGATGTAAACCAAGTTTAAGATGTAAACTGCGTTTCTTGTTGGAGGAGAGTGGAGCGCTGACAAACAGCCAAAATGCAACGCCGAATGATGATCTCTCTCGTGGGGGATCGTCCCTACTGGTGAAAAGCGTAGACTCCGATCAAGCTCCGCGACCTTCTAATCTTCACCTCGGGAACTGAATTCCGGGCACGCAGGGCCCGAAATTCATTTACTCTACACCCCACTCCGATCTTACTGGAGACCTAAAGCACAGCACATTCCTCGCGGTGAATCTTATCGAGTCAGACCAACGTCGGGAGCTGTAAGAGAAAAGCTGCCGGACCGGCCCCAGTGACCTGGTAGACGGCAGCGCACAGTGGTTGCACTGCGAGCCCTTCGGCTCCAGTACATTCCCAGTACAGCAAGTGGTGGTGGGCCCCGGACCATGACATCGAGACATAGGGCGACTTTTGGGACGTTCTTCCCACGGGCTGGTGCCATCGTGCGGTCGCGATGGCGCGCTCCGTTCTTCTTTAATGCCGTTTTCGCTTTGGCAAATGTGGTGTGCTGACTCATCGGCCATGATGGGCCTGCATGCATGTATGCATGTCCACATGGGCCCCTCTCAGGCCTCCAAGTTTGATCGTGCGTCGAAATGCCATCAGCCCCTTTGACTCCTTTCTCCATTTTCTGTGAGATATTTTCGGTCCTGACTCCACTGCAGCTTTTTCGTCTTTGACTCCACGGAACGCAATCTCTGTATAACTAAGTACGTGGTGGTCGAGCACTTTATTTCTTTTTAGTCCGGGTTCAGTTATTTCATTATTTTGTGCCTCGAGGGGAGGTCAGAGCTGTAACGCACATCCCTCCTTCCCTTCAGCCTCTTACGTAGTCCTTTTGCGGGAGTCCTGTCCGTGGTCGAGCCTGTTTCCACCTGCCTTAGTTCGGGCACCGTGTCTGAACTGACTTGACCACTCATGCGAGCCCAAACTGGGACCCAGAATAACGTGGAGCCCCAGTACACAGTCAAAAGCTATTCAAGACGGCTAACGATGCGACATTTGTGTAAGATATGCCGAGTGACATCTTCCAATATTGACAACTTCAACGAGTAACTTCCACTGACAAAAAGTTTGGGTCACCATAAAAGTACTCTACATGCCAAAGGAGTATTCGATTCATTAACTTTGATTGCCTCGCCTGATCAAATCCAAAAGTTTCTTGTTCCACAATCAAACAGTGTTCTCACAAGAATAATATTTTGCTATAAAAAAAAGCTTCAGTCCTAGAGAAGTTTATTCGACCTCTTGGTGTGATTATCTCCATCAAATTCACTCCTTGTAATCTTTCATTCGGCTGTATCAAAATATATGACCTTCTTGCATCTGAAACTCGTAATATCTCTTGATTGAATCAATGTTTTGCTCTTCCAACAAAGCCAAAATTTTCATCTCTTGATTTTCATCAACAATAGGTTTATATTCAATGTATCATGAATCACTATGTATTCTATTTAACAAAATATCTTGGCATTCCTTGAATCCTTTTTTATATTTACAATTTATTTCTATAATAGCATACTATTAATCTACATTTCAAGAAAATCATTTAACTTTAAAACTTATATATTTGACTTGAAGGAATATATTTAGACAACCAATGTACACATCGTGTACATTTTTTCAGTTGGATTACAAATGAATCAAAAACAAAAAACAAAGCCGCAAAATATAAATATAAATGACATGTTAAGAAAAATTGGAAATGTTTCTAATTTAAATAAACATCCGTTGAAAAAAATTAAAACAATCGAATACTTCGAATTTTTTTTATAAAAAATACACATTTTTGCAAACTCCAGAGATAAATTGATAATTTACTTTTTGCCAATTTTCTAAAAATATATGATCATGTTTGGAAAAGAATCAATATTTCTCATGATGTACCAGTTGTCAATAATTTTGAAATTCGGTTTTTTCTAATGTGGCAGAGTGCAATCAGTTGACACTACAGATTATTAATCTATGGTTACCATCATAAAATTAAACATTATGATATTTCATTTCAAAAAAAATTTTAATTTTTTATTTCTATTTTAAATCCTTAGGATGAATGATTATAATATAATGTATTTATAAGAAATGTTTTTTGCACTTATGTTATGAAGATTAATATGATGAAGGTTGCTTTTTTGACAGTATAAAATATTTTCTTTTGGATGAACAATTACGTTTTCATTACAATAGTTTCATTCAAAAATATTAATTTTTTTATGTAGTTTGAATTTAAGTGAATGTGTAATTAGATTATTCTATGTAATTTCTCTTGACCCTATGAGGGAATTTCTCTTGTTGCAAATAATCTCACCACTTCATCATTTTAATTTACAATTTATTTTGTATTATTTTCAGAAAAAAGTGTGAAATTCAAAAATAATATACTTCTTGCAAAACATTAAAAAATATTTTGAAGCCTTTTTATAATTATAAATTGCACATATGTTGATGGTTTGGTTTTGAAATCATTTGATAAATAATGTTAGAGAAAATTTGTATTCATTTTAAAAAAATGTGTATTGGGATACACGTATTGCAATCATTTTGAGTCTATTTATTTCATAAAAGTTATTTTATGAATCAAATTTACATATCAAAATGATGAGATTCAACCATATATTTGATCCAAAAACAACATAACATTTTGTCTTGCTATGGTATAAAAAATAGAATGTATGATCAATAATTACTTGACGTATTTGAGGAATAATTAATAATTAATTAATATAAATATCATATAATTTAAATTAAAAATCATATTTTTTTCTATGATATATATTTTAATAAATATGCATAATAGAAGAAGGTATAAAAAAATTTATTCAAAAATTCAAATAAAATATAATAAAACTAAAATTTATTTCATTTAAATTTAAATTAATATAATTATCACAACAACCCAAAGTTAAAGTGTTGAAAATTATAAAAAATATAAAAATAAAGTTTTAAAATATTCATATCTTACAAAGTATGTATGTATAATTTAGGTTTTTATATATAGATTAAAATCTACCTTTGAATATGCTTTAAGTGAAATAAAATTTAAATTTTGAATTTTTTGAAGATTTGGCTACCTCTATACTTGTGTAAAATTTATAATCTTGTCACCGCTCTAGAGAATGATCATATTTTACATAAAATGTTATATCAATCAGCGAAACACATAACAAACAAATAAAAACAACAATAATTTATTAACATTGATAAAAATTACATAGATAATAATTTTGAAATCACAAAATTGAACAATTTTTATTTTTCTTTATTACTAATATTCTACAATATTTAAATAATCATGATTATGTTTAAAAGTCTATAATTTATTTATGATTATAATAAAAATCATAATTTTCCATGTTTAAATAGATATAATTAATAATATAAATTTGTATTTAATTTTCAAAAAATAATCAATATTTTTTTGAGATTTATTTTTTGAAAATATTTTCTGTTGTTTTGATTGAAATATAAAATTTTAATGTATACAATTATTTCATTCATTGTCAATTAATTGGTTCAACAATCAATTGTCAATTCTTTCAAAATTGAATAAATAATTTTGTTTGTCAAACTCTTAAATTCAAAAATCTCACAATGATTTTGTAAGAAATTGGCTAATTTTCATACATTATCTTTAGATAAATTATTATTTTGATGATGAATATTGTTTAAAATTGTATCTTGTCATATTTATTTCAAACTTTCAATAAACTTTTTGCCAAAACTTCATAATATTTTGATAAATTACAATCATTATTAAATTTATTATTGTAATGGCAGCAATCTGATTGTTAATGCTGACATTACAATTATAGATGATTTGTTTTAACAAAATTTTTTTCTAATCTATACATCACTTTATAGTTTTTATAAATTTTAATGATTTAAAAATTATACAAATTTTAATGAATTCAAAATTTCAAATTTTATAAGTAAAAATATAAATTTAACATTTGTATCAAAATTATATGTTTTGTAAAGATTTGAGCATAAAATCATTTTAAATTGAAATTTTGTTTGTTATATAATACCATTTTGAATAGTATTGTTACATCTACAATATTATTTCTATTGATGTTAACAAAATTTAATGAATGTTATCAATTCCAAAAAAAGATTTGATTTGTTTATTTATAATTTCATACATCTTGAAAACTATGTGTTAATTTTTAACAAAAAAATTTCGACAATAAAACACAAAACACAACAAGTCAAAATAACAATGTAATATGTTTCATCACAAAGAGTTCTTTGAAAAGTGTATTGATAATATACAAAGCTTGATGTTAAATAGCCGAGCACAAGTGACACTTCTAGCT